TTTTTTTCCCAAATGAGAATTTTTTTTTTCTCAACTTAAGCAAGAACATTACTCATCATATTTCACAAAAGCAGTTGGAGTTTGGTGTCTTTTACCATCTTTTAGTCCAACTGGCTTTCAAAGCTCTCAGACTCTATGTACATTTAAGCCCATTATGAGTAATGTTAAGTAGAAAGGGAGGAGAAGTTTGGAGCAATCAAATTATATGACAAAGCAAAGAATCACTTCCCGTCTTCTGTTTGAAGTTAACTTTCCCACCCTGTCTGTCTGGGGCTCCCTATGCCTGCTGCCTAGCATGACGCAAAACCTCAACAACCACGTGGGGGTAATCCGGAGCCCCACACTTTTATCAATCCCATTCCATCAGAGCTGTTCAGCTGCTCAGCCTGACCTTTCCTCTGTAAATCTGTGAGAACCTCTTGGGATGTTTTTGAGGACAACAACACTTTCTACAAACATGTTTGCTGCAGTGACTTTATAATCCCTTCCAGATGCTGTTATACGGCCTGACACCATAAGGTGGTGTGCACAAAAGAAGAAAGAAGCACTTCAACTTAACTTTCTTACTGCAAGACTGTAAAATAACGTTTTTCTGGGTGTGGTATTTGTCTATTTTCCACATAACGTTTTTGCTCTGCTTTTTATTTGCGTTCTCCTTTTCCAGCATTATATAAAAGTAAGATGCACCTAGAGTAGCATGGAAAAGAAACTTGAGATTAGAAGAGCTGAGAGAAAATTTGAGACACTCATTCAGTGCGTAAGAAGTGAATGAATCAAGAAATTGGAACCCTGTTAGTTCACTCTGTGATTTTTTGGCTTTCAGCCTGTGGTTGCACTATGGAGCATGATCTACAGGCACAGTCAGTGTGGGTCGACTGCAGCGTGAACGTCATACTGGTGAAGCAGCAGTCGTTTACTGGAAACTATGTAAAAGACATAGTTTAAAGAAACAGACCAGCTTAATTCAGAGGGCACAGCTGTTCCTGAACAGCATGAAGTCACTGCAAGGATTCCCAGAGGAAAAAGTTGTGGAGTTGTGAATGTCACTACAATTAGAGATTCATTAGGGCATCTGCAAGGGATTATTAGTTTCTCATTTTATGTTAATTCTTTGGAAACTGCAATAATGACACCTTTGAGAAGCACCATGGAAAACTAAGACCAGGAAGTGTCAACTGTATATATATATATATATATATATATTATATATATATATATATATATATATTATATATATATATATATATATATATATATATATATATATATATATATATATAGAGAGAGAGAGAGAGAGAGAGAGAGAGAGAGAGAGAGATTTTCTTTTTTTTTTTTTCTTTTTTTGCAGATTTTGTTTTTGTGCATTTGTGTGACTACGTTACCTTACAAAGAACCACTTCTTGTTGGTATTTACCAAAAACCGTTTCACCATTTTGTCCACATTATGGGATTGAGTGACAATGACTGCTGATTTTCAGGTTTATGAAAATAAACCATCATGTTTATGATCACGCCACAATCAGTGAAGGAGGGGAAAAACATCATTGCTAATTAAGAATATTTCACATTTTATTGCAAAGACCTGCTGTATATTTCCGCCCACTTGCCAGAATAGGCCTAACCCGACAAATCAGGGACTCCAGTAGGTCCTGAGAGGTGATGGGAGTTATCTGGAACGCAGCAGATCCTTTATGTTTCAAGGTGGCCCCTCCCAGTATTGGCGTAAAGATAAAACATGAAAAAGGTCTGGTGGCGTAAAAGAAAAAAAGATAAAAAACAACTTGTTATTTATCTACACCCTGAATAATGTGGTGACATTATGAAGAGCTTTCTAATGTCAGCCTTATGTGCAAATCTGAAGATAGGCAAAACTCTCAAGCAGCTTAGGAAAACAACACGTCTTGTATCTATAGACTATTCTTAAAGAAAACAGATTTATGGCTGTATCAACAATGAGACAGTATAGAGGAGCTCAGGGAAGGGCAATGACCATTAAGGTATCAATATTCTGACATAAAAAATATCCAAACTAAATGAGCATTCATCCACCATGAGTAATATAACATGTGGGGAAGAAAAACAACACCCACACTGCCTATATTTCCAGTGTGTTTTGTCACAAGGATAAGTTGCCCTGGCAAGCAGACGGTCCAGTGGAAACACTACAACTTTCTGCTTGCTAAATGAAAAGCTTTGAGTCATGTCTGACTATTTTTAGGAACTCCACGAGAGCTTTATAAGGCCCCGCAGATCCTACTCTGTGCTCACATCGTGTGTGTTTTTCGCCAAGAAGACATCCGCACTCACTTCAGACAATTGCGAGAAGCAGTGTGAGTGCGCTCGTTTTCATCCAGGACTTAGACGATCCGCACATACAGGCGGCTCAAATTTTAAATAAACTTTAGTCTTACGCTCTGAAAAAGCAAAAACAGAAAGCTGAGACTTTTCTCAGGTTTTTCAAATGTTCTGATAGACCTGCATATCTTTCTCCATGTCCTCCAGTTACATACCTTGGATACTACAGATTCACTTTGTTATTGAGAATGCAGGCGTGGCTGCGCTGTATGTCTATGTTTGCCCTGTGACAAATCAGTCCATTGCATGAAGAGTTCCAGATGTGCTGACCGTACAGGATTTATTGTGCAATCATAAATCTAATGCTACCAGGCGTCTCAACAAGCAAGATTGATTGACCTTCTGTATTTTAAATATCAAGTATACTGATAGGTTGAGGACCTGATGTGTCCGTCTATCCTGTGTAAACAGTCATCATTCCTGCAGCACATATTATTTTTATTATTTTTAGAAACAGCATTTTAATGTCAAAAGCAGTCTCTTAAAAATCTTAATCTACTTTCATAAGGTTAAAATGTATTTAGATTTTTGACAATGTGTGGATATTAGCTAAAAAATTTTTTTACTGCTGTACGTAGTAGTTACAAAATGAAATGCTTTAGTAAACTGACATTTGTCATCATAAATTTATTTTATCAGATAATTTTAACAGAAGGTGCGGTCATATTCAATAAATTAGAATATGGTTTGCAATGACGTTTTTCTTTCAGATTAAAAAACATATTGTATCATAATCATCATAATTAACAGACGTAAAGGCTTGAAAAGATTCATTTGGAAATGTGGAAAAGGGTTTTGTCAAGAATTTACTCCACCTATTGTGTTCAGGACTAAAACTGTTTTTTGTCATAATACATGATTTAAAAGGAAACAAATCAAGTCGTTGAAGAATCAACCAGGGGAAAGGAGGACTGCCTCTCCAGATACTGATAAAAAAGAAGCCTCCTACTTCATTGGAATTAAATAAATTCAGCAAGGGTATGTAATTATTAATATAATCTTAAGTCCTTAAAACGTTTAGTTACGGCCTTGCAGACAGCGGCACACGCCGGGGAGTCACTGAAACTTTCTCCAGGTGACGTTTCAACAATCCAAGTCAAAGTCCAATTACAAATGAATTAAATGTTTGCAGAAAGGGCAGGTTGTGACAAACACCTTCAGTAAGCCTGCCAAAATCACACAGTCACGATTGACTTATGAGATCATAAGCATATTTCCTTAGTCCTAACAATAAACACAGGCAGTTTATGAATTGTTAAAATATGAGAAATGTTTGGTTCTTGCTTTTTAAGGGCTGATGTTTCACCAAAGGCTCTGTATAAGAAAATAAGATTAATATTGCAGCATAACAGGCTAGAAAGTGGAATCAAAAAAGAGTTTTCGCTTTAGCTAAACTGTTGTGTCCGGTGCGTTTTTGCTTAAAACGGGTTTGTTCTTCATCCAGTAAAGTGACTCAAAGAGGATAAAGTATTCAGAAATTCATAACTCAAGCAAGTAATGATACTTAATAATATTACTCAAGAAAAAGTTTGGTGCAGTAAAACAACTCTTAACAGTATTTAAGTTTTGAAATTGGTTCTCAAATAAAGGTGAGTGACCACCTCTGCAGACAACATGTGAATGCTGTGACAGCATAAAGGACTAAAGTATGGCTATGAAAAAACATCTGCACTTAAAATAAAGGGAGATTTTAATAACAGCGTTGAAAAAGCAGAATGACATTAAAACTCTGTCTGAAATGCTGAGTTTGAGACTCTGACTCCCTAAGCATTTATCAACAAATGACATCTTGAAACAGAAACTTCACAAAACAAGGTGATTTTCTCAAGATCTTAGATTTTATGAGGGAAATCGATGCCTGAAAAACACACTATCAAAGACACTCAAAATAACGTTGAGGGATGTCTGGTGAGATGAGGAGAGAAGGCATTTTCAAAGAGGTTAAATAAAGTGAAGGGTTTTTTTTTTTTTTTTTGGCAGATGAAACAATCAACAAATTTACTTAAAAATTGTGTTTCTTGGAAGATATAATGTTATGGTAAATACTTTGTTGACTCTTGCAGGATGGTATTTTCCTCCGTTCACATGGTTATATAATATTCTCTTTTTTGAGGATTGGTTCCTGGCCTTTCCCTCTGCTCCAGTGACCAACCCCGCTGTGCATATCACTCGACTTAACGGCGTCGCCCATGACGTAAATTATACTGATTCTGTTTCGAGCACCTGATGGCTGTGACTCAATTGTAAATCAAGGATGTTTTGTTGCCACAACTCACAAAAAATAATTTGTGTTTGTATGATGCACGGTAGAAATCGGAACCTTTTTGCCCAAAATGAGAAAGGACTTCAAGCAATCGAATAATTTTATACGATTTATTTCTAATTGTTTCCTGAAAAAAACAAATAAATAAAAAAAGCAAAGTCACTAAGAGAAATTCCTTTATTTCAGAATTGATATTTGTTTCTGTTCAGGCTGATCTCACATACACATCCAGCTCATCAACCTCTGACTGAGTCTCGGGACACAGAACCTGCGCTTCAGCAGTTCTGTGCTGAGCAATTTTGAGTGATTAATTGTTGTAGAAAATGTTTAAGCAAATGAGTGAATTGTCACATTTTTTTAGAAAATTGTCAGTTTTGCAAGTACTTCCCCTTTTACAGATGTGTTTTGATGGTGTTGTGTTTAGCAACCAGATCATCTCTGGGTCACAATCTGGTTGTGACACAAAACTGATTTCACCACAAAGTTCAAAATGAATTCAAGGTAAGTGTAGAAAGCTCCAAACTGTGTGATTGCTGTTTGTTGAGCAGACATGACAGGCTGGATTTTGCTGCCCCCTGGTGGTCTTTAGGCTACAGTATCAAATCCTTCTTTTGCTGGTGAAACATGAAAAATACCTGATTATTTTAGCCCAGAGTGTCCAGAAGCAGGCCAGGCCACACTGTTCAGAACAGCACGCTTCACTGAGTGAATGAAATGTGTTGCCCGCTTTTCAATTAAAATTTCGGCCTGGTTATGCAGTCGTTCCATGACAACAGTACTTACGTACTTTTACTTCCTTCTCAGTAGCTTTTTTATGCATTTTGTTGCTGCACTCTATCTAGTAGGATTACATGTTCTCATGTGTGTTATCATTCAGTGCCTCTGTCTGCTGTGACTTATATTGGTGATATGACTGATCTGATAAGTAAAACAATGAAAACGACATTTTGGGATAGCAAACACAAAACGTCACGGCCGAACAAACATGCACCACCGATAAGTAACAAATAGGAAACAAATAGGAAAACATAAAACATAAAAACTATGAATAGCTCCTGAAACGTTGAGATTTTGTTACTTTGCAACAGCAGACATCAGTAGTGGCACCTAATTATTAGAGGGATGAAAAGTGAAACACATTTGAAAAATGTTTTATTTTCTTTCTTTCTTTTTTAGCATATAAATACCTGAAAATTGCAGCATCTATTTTTTATTCAGTCTGTGTGATTGAATTCTGTGTCAATACCTTGTAAAGACAACTTTCACTAGAATTACAGCTGAAAGTCTTTTGGGACATGTCTACCAGCTGTGCTCATTGAGAGACTGAAGGTTTTCTCTATTCTTCAGCTCAATCAAATCAGATTAGAAATGTCTGCAAACATCAAGGCCATTCCAGCCCACGAACGTGTTACTCTGATTTAAACCTTTCCACTATATCACTGCCTGCATATTTAGTGACTGACTTAGTCTTAAATCATTAGTAGCCTTTAGCATGCTGTTTATATACATATAAACAGCATGCTATACATTTATATATAATATATATATCTGATATATATCTGATTTGATTTATTCCTCCCTCTGAACAATGAATCTCTGCAGGTCCTCTGGCCTCTGAGCTTCTTGCTGGACAGTCTGCTGGCCAAGGTGGATTTCCAAGTCTTGGTAGGTTTGCAGTCGTGCCATTACATTTAGGGGCTAATGGATTGAAGTGTGCAATATTGATATTGTTGGATTTCATAACCCTAATCTATTCTTCCACCCAACATTCTTCCTGATCTTTCTGATAGCCTGTTTATTCCTCTCAATGCTCTTTATCCTATATTCTCTAAGAAAAAAAACTTCAAGGCTTTCACAAAACGTCTGGCTTCGTCTTGAAATTTAATTACACACAGGCAGACCTGAATAAGCAAAGAGAAAAAGGGAGTTGAATTCGAATGGCCTCTATACTTTTTGAATGAGCTTGAAACTTATGTGCCAAATTCCTTCTACTCAACAAGTTTGTTCTGCTTTCTTTTTGTTCCCATGCTTTGCAATAAAGCTTATTGTAGTTGGAATACGTCAAAACAGGGGAAAAATTAAAAGAACAAAAATGAACAAGGCCATGAAAGGCATAATCAGATTTTTACACTGGTTTGTCACTGCAAATAATATGAGAGCAAGCAAAAGTTTTAAGATTTGATCCAGGTATAAAAAAGGTAAACCTACCATTTTGTCAATGTTTTAATCATATTTAAAAATTATTTCTGATTGTAGTTATTCGATGGTTTAAATATGCATAAACTGAGCTATACTTTCACAAAGACACATTTCATGTTATACTCTAAAATTTGTTGTACTTTGATCAAAACAACTCGTTTTTATGCTGCATGGATGCAGAAAGTCATTGTCAATTATTCTGATGAAAATGTGTCTCCTGACCTCTAGTGGTGAGAAGAGTTACACACACGTTTCCATCTAAGTATGACATAATGCTTCACAGAATATCCAGTACTTTGTGTACATTTTTAATACAAGTTGCTCTTTTTCATATTTCTAACAACGAAACACCAAAATAATCTTCTTCATCCGAATCCGCTACAGGATGGTCGACCTCCGCTACTGACAACCAGTACAGGAACCTGAAACAGCCAACGACAAAGACACAACTAACAAATGCATGCTCACAGGACAAATGCCGATTGTTGCCAATGTCTTATATTGTCCAAATAATAGCTTTGTCTTCACCCCACGGAGACGGACAGCAGCAGCAGAGAAGTGGCTAAACAGGTGGTGAGAAGAAACAGGAGGCGGTGGTGGAGGAAGAAGTGAGGAGCAGCATCAGGCGCGGTGAGAAACTGCCCTCTTGGGAGCAGAGCCTGGTCAAATATCCCCTGCAGCGCTGTGTGGCCCACCACAGGCTGGGGGATCACTTAAAGACACAGAGACGCAGAAAGATATGCAAGGACATCGATGGGAGTATTAGTGTACGTTTTGATCTTTTTTCATTCTACACGCCTTGCAAAGAGCATTCACATGTTGTCACGACAATCACAACGGTCCAATCGACACAAAGTAGAAAATAAAAGTGAAAAAATCACAATCTTTTTTTTTTTGACAAATAAAAATCTGCAAAGTGGAGTGAAGTTTTTAGTTCGCCCTTGTTTCTGACGCCCTGCAACAAAAACTAGACCAATTTATTTGAAAAAAAATCACAAATGAACACCGAACAAATCAACACTATAATTAGGTGGAGAATTATTAGACAGGACAACTATCGGCGCTGTGCAACACAAACATGGCCTCTGGGAAAGAGTGGCATGAAGAAGTTGTCAAACTTCATGTGTTAGACTGATCTAGTCAAAGTCCAGAACAAAATCCGATGCATTTTCAGCAACTCAAATCCCAGTAAAAACTTTGATATTTGTATTTATGTTGGAACAAAATGTGAAAAACCTCATAGTGTCTGTTTATTTTTGCAAGGCACTGTATGTATACAATACAAGTTCTGGATTTCCAATTTTAAAGTTGTAGATAAAATGAACATATTGGATGTAAGGAGTCAGGCTTTCCGATAATGTTTGAAAATGTTCCTACTGTTTATATCTGTAGACTTTCTGAAGGTGGATAAAACATTTTCTTTAAATCTCAATAAATTATTTCCACCTGAGTGTATTTTAGTGATTGCCAAAGTAATTTTAGCACAAATTTTAGCACATCCAAGTTGATTCTGGTTCTGCGTCGTATCTCTTTTTGATTCTTTCTCATTTCAGAAAGAGCCACTGTGCATCCCGTTCACCTGCTGTAGAGTTGTTCTTCTTTTGCCCTCCATTTGAACACTTTGCATTTACAATAAATAAACAGACAATTGCTGATAATATTAAGTCCAACTACTGATCAGAAAAACTTTGTTAGAAAAGGATTTCAAACTTCAGCAAAATGTTGTGTGTCATATTCTGCAATAATATCTCTTTATTATTTTACATGATCAAAACAGGGATGAACTCTACATCAATCTACATAACTTTCCTTTAAACAGTCACATGAGCCCCATTTAGCATAAAAACCTCGGTTTCTATGTTGTCACTGAACATCTGGCACTTCCTGTTACCTGTGACGTAGAAGTAAAGCCTGACGATGGATCGAATGCCTGAGAAAATCTCACACTGGTAGGTGCCCTGATGCTCAGTGGTGGTTGATGAAATGGAGTAAAGCCTGTCGGGTCCTGCAGTCACCTCCTTAAACTGCTCCGTCTCCTGCGTCTTGAACTGTGGAGGAAGATGCAGCTGTTTGTCTGAAGGAGTCGATTCAGATTGCAGGAAGATCCTCAGTTCAGAGTTTTGTAACATTTGTAGGTTGAGGTCAACAATCTGCTTCAGACAAAATTCAAGTAAACTGACCATCCAGTTCTGAAGCTAAGTCTGATTTAGCTGGAGATCCATGCAGAAAACGACATGGGAGTGAAATTACTTCTATTATTAGTGATAGCTGATAATAGTTTTATTAAAGATCAGCTATGATGCTCAATAAAATATAATAATTTTGCAAAAGTTTTTTGTTTCATCTGTAATTATTATATTTTTTTTTCACAGTTATGACCAGTTATATATTTTGGTTTGGCTTCAATTAGTTTTTATATCTCTTCTCGATTGTTTAAATACTCATATGTCTGCAATTGCATCTTGTGAACAATTTTGCAACTTTTTATAATAACTAAGCATGTTTTTGAAGTCATGCTTTGCATAAATTGTTCCCTTTTGACTGATTATTTTATCTACTGAAGTACTGCCTTACATAACTGCCAGATCTTTGCGAAAATGTGCAATTATTATATTGAGTCAGAAGAAATATGTTGTTAAAATTAAAGTATTACCTTAAACTTTACTTTCAATCTGCATGTGGTTTGAATCATTTTTCTGCTTCACTGTGTTTACAAAAACCTGTTCCCAGAAGTATCTGCTTATAATTTTACGTAACGATCGCATAGAAGATGTTGAGCTAATCCTTTGAGAGTCTGGATTACTGTGTTTTGAGCATACCTCCTCTGCAAACTTCCAGACCACCTCAATATCATTTGGTAGGTCAAATGGCACATCGCACCGCATTTGGATCCCTCTACCCTCCTTTACTTCAATATCTTCAACTGAAATAAACATACAGCCACCCACAAGCACACAGACAGAGACACACGCACATGGATAACATTCACAGAGGGCAGCGCTTGCAGTCTGAGCCTTCCTTAATGATAATACTTAAGCCTAGTCTCAGAGGAGTGCAGCAAAAGTGATGATATGCTAAACATTGGCTGAGCTGTACAGGGGTGATACGAACACCGCCGTGTGTGGGAGTCGGCTGTCACCCCGCATAAAGAAGTCATCGACTTAAAGAGAACCTCGAGGGCTCTGTGCAAAAAGATATAATGTGCGGAAATAAAACCTTTCCACTGTCTCATTTTCCAATCCTGACTTTTTAGCTAAGAGCATTTGAAGGATCAAACACGGAGCATTTCAGGGATCAGGATTTATGAAGGGGAAAATATAGTTATTTAAGGAACTGTCAAGTCTGGATTAGCACGTCTTCTTTAGCTGTGATGTAACAAAATCTGTCGGGCAGTGAATTACGTTCTCACCTGGACAGTCGAGTGGAAATAAGCAGGAGTCGTACTGGCAGGTTATGCAGTTGTACGCAGCATCTATATTCTGAAAACCTGGAAGCATTGAACTAGTGTTAAAGGATGCCATTTTAAAGCAAAATTAATAGGTTATCAGCAGGTAATATGTTAAACATGCAGGAGATAAATCACTCGACGTCTTTATTTTGGATAAATCCAGATTCCCTGAAGCTAATGTATGAGAGGTCAGGAAGAAAAGTGAACTTCCACCGTCTTAAAACACCTCAGATCTCAGAAACATCGGAGAGGTTTATGCAAATCACAAAAAAAGAGTTATGACCCTATAATCACTGCATTGTATGTTTATTTACACTAAATTCATTATAATTTACAAAGAAAATGGAAGAAGGAAGCCATGTGCCACCAGTGATCTTCATGCGTGGTATTCTAAGAATACAATATCTCAAATTATTTTTCAATCGAACTTAATCTTTAAATACTATTGTTGTTTAGGAAATTGCAGTTTCATTATTTTTTTACACTGCCCTATTTTTTTACCTAAAGAAAATCATTGATCAGACATCGCTTCCTATCACTCAAAGGTTCATCAGATAATATTGAAATCAACCCCTAAAACATCTTTACGAGTGGAGTTAGTTTCAGGGGATACATGTCTACTTTGGTCTCTCCCTGATTGACTTCATCCTACAGAACAAAATGAACATATCACTGCCACTTCAAAAATCCATTATGTGGCAGCATTTTGGCTTAAATGTGAACGTGTGAGAAGGAAAAGACCTGACATATCCTACACTACTGGCCTATTTGCAGATAATTCACCGGTGTGTGGGTTTTGTCAAGAAGAATATCTGAACTGTTAAAAATAATGCAGCATGGGGAGACGAAATACCTGGGCTTAACACGTCATTGGCTGCAGTTTGCACAGCAGTCAATCTCGTACCTTGAGTGGATGTAAGGAGCACCAGGGATGTTAACTTCTGCGATAGTTTCAAGAGTTTCCACTCTGCGTATGAATGCGTAGAGTATTTGAATTATTGAAACAGGTTGTTGGTGGTGTTTTTACTATGGGGTTATTTGTTGTGATCCCTAACTTTTATGACAATTCGACTCAAAATAGTGTGCAATTATAAAGTGGGAGGAGAATGATTGATGATTTTCATTTTTTATGAAAAATATAAACCTGGAAAGTGAGCCATCCATTTGTATCTGCCACCATGCTGAGCTCAGGTTGTTAGTTTTTACATTTTGTCTGACCAAAGCACATTCTTCTGCACGTTTGCTTGTTGCACACTGCAGAGGGAAAATGTTTAGCCTTTTTGTTTAACAAGTCAACTGTCTTGCTCGTCTCTCAGAGTTGAATATTAATAGTTGAACTGTAAAGAAAGGTGAAACTTTGCATCTCTGCTGCTCCTCCAGTGACCAAGAGGCTCTTGGTTACATCACTTTGTAATGCCCTCCTGCTAGCCAAGCTGGATGACCATGTTTTGTTCACTGATGTGCAATTCTTTTTTCCATGTTCAATTGATGGAAGAGAAAGGGTGCAGTAGCTTGGTATATTTTTTTAAAAACCTAAAATTCTCAACAGCTTTATTGACCTGTCCGATCTGCTCCTTGTTCTTCTGGATGCGATCTGCACAAAATTACTTTTACTTTCTCTGCACTAGTTTGTGCTGGCTTGTAGTTGTCACATGACAAAATTGTAAGTATTTTGAAAGTCATTTTGCATTTCATTTTAAGGATTTTGTATAAGCAGTTTGGCACTCACCACATGGAGGGATGCACTTATTATCTGTGGGGGAAAAAGATTTTCGTCATTACATGATTTGATTTATTGCACATGTGATTTGGCTTCCACAGTGTTTTAAAGGCTGAATCAACATAACTAGATTATCACAGAGAGATTAAAGAGATCAGAGGGAGTGGTGATGCCTTAGTTTAGATCAGTGCTTCTCAGTTATTTTCCGTTACGCCCCCCCTAGCAAGAAGAAAACTATTCGCGCCCCCCACTCCCCACCGTGACTATCCATCTCTGCATAACATTTTTTCCTTATTAACATTTTTTTCGCTGAAAAAACTCTAGCGGCTTATCGGCGTGATTGGGATGTAACGTATTTAAGTGACGCGCTAATTTATTTGGCTTCATGCTGTCCGCTGCGAGCATTTTTAGACACAGCAAACACAGCGGTCTTTCCTCTTCTCCAACTGTAGTCACAGTGAAGCCAAGCGCTAAATACGCTTCGTCGTATTTCCTCTTCTTAGCTTTCGGTTGACTTTCTGTTGTCTCATTATCTTTGTCTCTCTCCGCTTTTCTTTTCATCCCTGTGAAAAACTTTTTCATGTTGGGGGTTGTTGAATAACGGACGCCATAGACAGAACGCAGTCGGAGCTTTTAGTTGACTTAACACTGCTAACCAAGGCAAACCTGTTGTCTTGTAAGTCGTAAAATGTTGCACTGTCGCAAACGTGACAGAAGTAACAATGAGAGCGCCACTGCCGCATACTGTGCGCAATTACACTTTATACTAGTTCGGCCAAAAAAAAGCCTGTTCCCCAGGATCACACGCCCCCCCAGGTATCGCACCGCGCCCCCCAAAGGGGGCCCGCCCCACTATTTGAGAAGCACTGGTTTAGATGAAAAGATGAAGGTAAGTGTAAGAGCGAATGTCTCACCTCTAGGCAGTTTGGAGGCAGCTTCAATGAAATTGTCTGCTGCTTTCCGCAACCTGCGTTCATACACAGTGTCTGGTAGATGGAGGAGAAGGAGGACAGGAGATATTTGTCTCAAAACATCTGGGTGAATCCCATGCTTCAGGGCATCATTTCAGAAACGTCTAATTTTCAGACCTCACTTAACAACTCACTGCTCTCTACTGGAGGAGGTGATTTAGTTACCCATATTCCGCTTTCCCTGAAAGTCTTTCACTATGGGAAAGATCTCTGCTTCCAGGATCTCCTTCAGCCTGCTTTCTAAACCTCCGGCTGGAGAGGGGAAACACATCACATCTTTGCTTTGCTGGAATTAAAAGACAAATCGACTGCTTGACCCCTACCCGCTCTTCCAGCCTTCACCACTGTCTCATTCAGGTTGAATATGCGATCCAGAGACCTGAAGCATTCGTCAACGCTGTTGACTTTAGTTGCACTCACGACGTAACCTACGCACAGCCGACCACTGACTTGCGGCTTGATAAAGCAGAGATAGCAGCTCAGAGAGGGGCAAATCAGCAAACTAACACTTGTAAGCCATAAAACAGCCATGGTTATTTTTAGCAGGAGCTCCAAACTGAGCAAATGTTTTTGTTTTTCTTCAAATCCAGCTTCCATGGTGACAACATGTGAAGAAATTCAAATTCTTCAGGCTGCAAGAACAACTTGAGAGGCTTAAAACCATATTTTACATACGTCCAAATGTCTATGAGCTTGCGGGGTTTGCGTTTGGGTCTGAGAGCAGAAAGTATCTTCTGTATTTCCTCTATTCTATTGTCTCTATTCCCCATTTCCTGCTGCCTCAATGCACCAGTTTACTGCAGAGCACAGAGATGGCGTGAGCCGAGGAGGGAGGTGGCGCAGATGAGGGGGAGAGGGGCAGATAAAAGGGAAGTTTAACGCCCAGGTATGTGTCAGGGCAAAGCAAGAAGGAATGTTGGCAAGACAATTCAAGTAAAATCAGAATTTTATTTCATTTTCAATAAACGAGACGGAAGGCGAGTCGGGAGCCAGTCAGAGGGGGAAATGCAGAACAAAAGAGGTGAAAATTGAATGTTTTTCCCGATAAAGTTCACACAGTGTCTTCAAGCGAAAAGAAACTGAAGTCATGAGACAAAGGAAGAGGAGGGGACGGAGGTGAGAGCGGACGCTTGAGCGACAGAAATAAACGAAGAGGGAGCAGGACTACAAATCAACTCAACTGCCTCATCGCATCCTGTATCCCCCACTCGCCTCCTCGTCTCCTCCGCTCCCCCATCCTTCTTCTCCCCGATCCCTCGCTCCTGGTGCATCTCCATGGCAACCAGACAGGGTGCCTAATACATGAACTTAATATATTTCCAGTGGCAGGGTGAGCTGGGTACTAATGCATTCATCTGTCTCAGCGCAGACAGGCCAATCAATATCAAGCAAGAGTGTTCTCCAGGACCGCCAAAGTCCGATTGTTAGTCAGATGGCTGAACACGGAAAATCCCAAATAAACCGGACTGTCTGTGCGTCTTTCTGGTCTGTAGGCTTGTGTGTCTTGCATGTAGCTCGTTGTCATCATTCTGAATTTTCTAAAAAAAAAAAAAAGAATATTTCTAATTTTCTAGTTGCAATTCATCAGTGGGAATGGATGAAAAAAACTCCATCTTTCAGAATCTCAATCAGAGCCAAAAACTGTAAAGTTCGTGTCTGGTTTTACTCCGGAGGTGGAAACGTTTTCTGTGTGTCTGAATTCAGAAGTCAGACTCTAAAATGATAAATAAAACTTGTAAAGAAAACATCCAAACTTGCTAAAAGCTTCTGATGGTCGAATGAAACCAGCATTGAAGTTTGAGCCACGATATCAAAAGGTGTATTTGAAGAAAAAAAAAACAACAAAGAACATTATCAAAAGAACACAATAGGTACAATGAAACTTAATGGAGGCAGAACCGTGATCTGGAGTTACTTTTCTCCAGATGAAGCTAACATTTTTGAAAAAGTTAGATCCATTTCACTCGTGAAATTACCACAAGTTTATACCTAAAATTATAAAATGTCTTAACCTTAGCAAGCTTTAGTCTTTCAGCATTACAGACTCCAAATAGAGGTCAAAATAAACAGAAAATTTTATTTTTGGATGGACTTAGCTAAAGTTAACAACCAAATCTGACAGAAAAAGTAAGGGTTTATTAAAAAAAGTCTGTGGATCTGATAAAGTTGGGTAATTTTTTAAAGGGAGAGTGGAAAAACATTGTCAAGATGCAGCATGTTGATATTCTGAAATCTAAAATTACAACAAAAAGTCTTCAGCTTATAAGCTATCGCACTTCTGCAACCAAGTTCGATCAACTTTTTGTTTTATTTCCTTCTGCTTAGTGTGATGGTTTTAATGAAGAACTTTTTTTTTTACCTGTTGATCACACAGGAAAATCTCTATGTGGTAAATTTCAAAGTTTGTATTAGTTTCCCTTGACAAGATGGAATGTTGTGTGAATAACTCATAGGCACAAAGGGAATACCTTTAGTTGATGTTTTATTAAAACACAAAGAAAAAAAGAATATTTCTCCTGCTTGAATAAAACTTCATCTCCAGAGTTGCCAAATACGTCGGGGTCACAACCCTCGGCTGTCTTCTTATTGGCCCCCAATCAGAGGCGATAACACAAAGGCAGCCAATAGGGTTGGCCCCTAGAGGGCTGCAGGAGATACTTGTCCTCTTCTTGCGCCAACCAAATAGTCTTGATTGTACCAAGACAAGCGCTAAAACAGTCTGAGAAGTCTTGCAGCTTTGATGTAATATTGCACAAGCTGTGATGCTGCAATGTCTGACACTTCCTTTGGGCTGAAACAGACGACTCTTCATGGAGCAGAGGAAATGCGATTAAAGTGTCAGGTGTTTTGGAATTTCGCAAAACGTTGAAACTGAATGCAGCCCTGTTCCCGAGGACCTCACCTGTGACCTGCTTTGACCTCACAGGTTAAGGGTCTCAGGGACAGAGGGGCATACTGTAAAATGAAAACACACCGAGAGGTTTAGAAAGACGGCAGCTTATTGCGCAGAAAAGCCCGGCGGCGAAATCAAACGTGTTAATGGGAACCGCAGAGCTGCAGCGCCGAGACAAAGACATGACCTCATCTGACATTTGGATTCTGCTGCGGCACTGGCCCGGTCTCCTGCTCCGCTGCGGATCAGAAATGAGCCCAAATGGTTCAATTAAAGCACAACTGCTGCATAAACACTGGCATTAACTCTGCCACGCTAATCATTTGTTTTGCATTGCAGCAAAAGCAGATGTGAAGCCCAATTTTTCAAAGCAGGGGTCAAATAATCTCTGTAATGAATCAATTAAATCAATTGCAAAGGAATTAATTAAAGAAAACTATTAACTTTAAAGTGTTGGTAAATGTCACAGGCATTTGGAGCATGATTTATTGAGCGAACTCAACTGTCTATTTGGTTTTCTGAACTCAGGAAGTTGATTAAAATGTTCGAAACATAATCAAATAAAGTAAAGGTTAAGACAACAACAAAAACCAATTTATTCATAATAACTACATGTTTAAATGATATAAAACTAATACAATTTTACACTTAAATTAGCCTTTACGTGTGTCGACAGTTATGCGACTTTGGAAACATGACAGCTGCATTTTTAATAAAAGAGTTTAAAGACAGGGTCTACATGCATGCATCCTCAGATGCTTTGAATGATTTTTATTGTATCTTCACGGAGATGAATCTCTGAAACAGAGAACCATCAGTTCATAAAAAACCTCAGCTGCATAAAAAAGGCCCAGTCAAAGTTGGATATTCCCCTGTAAAAGCAGATAACAAAAAACGAGAATCACAGTGACTTCTTATGCCATATGAAAATTATTGCGTCAGTTTCCATTGATGAAAGAAAGACAGTTCATGGCGTAGAAACATTAGAAGGTGATGCCACCCACTGGCAGACAGACAGAAGCACATGCTGAAGACAGCATATGTTCAAACGTGGGGAAAGAAAAGCCAGTGAAATCTGTGCTTTTTGTGGCAAATCTGTCATGCAACCAAGCTTTTTTTTTTTTTTTTTATTTCTGCCTTTGTTTCTGCATTTTGCACAAACGCACGCAAAGAGAAGTTGAACCTAGCAGCACCATGTTCGGCATCAAATCAAGCTGCTGTACATGACAACTGTGCTTTATTAAACAGTTTTACCTCACAAGCAGGCCAAGATTTGGGAATGCAAAGATGGGACTTCGCATGCTGCCTTTGTTAACGTTGCACACGAGTAAAACGGCAGCTGCATGTCAGACCACCATGGACAGAAGACATTTGTCACACAACTGCATCGCTGATGCTTTTATGCTGCTTTTTAAAAATAGTGGTGATTCATTTCATCAAAGGAAACAGAAAGCACAAACATTTACATGCACAAGCTCAAAGTTTCTGCAACGACTGCATGCGTACCGTTTTGCACTCTGAACAGTGACAGCTGCCATTTTTACAGTATTAATTATGTTTCATTAACATCCATCAATTTGTGGTTGAGAAAGGTGCAAAGTAAGCTTATAGCAGACGTGACCCCGCCGCCAGCAGCATGGACGCGCCACAATTACTCACAAAGGCTGGATACTGCAAACAAACCCCACATGCATCCACTTACAAGCGTGAATATAATCATGCATTGTCAATAACATGACTTATTTAATTACTGTCAGTGGCTTTATATGCATGAGTTGTGAAATAAGTTGCAGATGAAATGAATGGATCTGCATTAACTTGCTGGGTGGGAATGTATAAAGAAAATAAAACAGGTATTCACCTCAGAGTCAGCCTCTTCTTTTCCTTTCTCTCCCAGCCAGAGTGATTCTGTTTCTCTTCTCAGCTCCCTCCCTCTCTCTCTCTCTCTCTCTCTCTGTCTCCCTCCCTTTCCCCCTGATGGTCTCTGCCGGGGCCAGACAGGGAGCCCAGCAGCAGGTAGGTTACAGACAATAGTATTGATTCCAGTGTTCTGCTTTCTACCTACCTGACAACATCTACGCAGCGCTTCACCCTTTGTCTCTGCAGGGCTGTTGTCACTGAACGCGCCTGGCTGCAAACCGGGGAAAAAATTTAAAAGAGAGAGAAAGAGGGTGGGGGTGACGGGGTGCAGGGGAGCCTGCTCAGTTGTGTGCTCGTGAAAACACACATGTGCCTTCCTTTCTTTCTCCCTCTTCCTCACTCTCTCTAGTCACCATCCTTCCAACTCCTCTCCCGTCTCTGCAGCAGCCCTCCACCCCCCCGCCTCCCCCGAAGCCCCAGAAAGCACACACGGCGAGCCAGACACACTCCAGTCTTCGAGCTGTGTTTGTAAAAGTGCGAGCGATGGAAAGGGAGAGTGCATCGAGTCCATGTGTGTGCGCTTGCATGTGTGTGACTACGAAAGAGGGGAACAGTGTGTGTGTGTGTGTGGAGGAGAGGGGGGGAAGTGGGTGGAGGAGTAGTGGGGATGAGCGGAGAAGCTACAGCACAGAGTGAGAATGGAGGGGGAGGGTCAGACTCTCTAATAGGATGTGAATTGAGAGAAAATATGAAGCCCGGGAGTCTCATGAACCTGAGAGGCTGACATTACTGCCTCCTTTCCATGTGTACACCAATCACACCGTCATCAAATTGATTACGGGATTTATGGTGCAGCTCCAGCGCCGCGGCAAATTGCTGCTGGAGTGACATCAAACACATTAAATAAACCCATCACTGGAAGCTCTGCCAATTAGAAAATGTGTCTTAATCACACCGCTT